CACCATTCTTTCTTTCTTGAAGAATGGCTAAATATTTCCATTCATCTTCATGATAATTAACTATAATCCCACCTGCAGAATAATATTTTTTAATAATTTCTTCCATTCATTTATTTTCCTAAGATATTTTTAAACGGTTAATTATTTACTTTTTTTGTTATTAGTGATTCGTAAACACTCAATAACTCGCTTTTAAAATCATTTTCAGATCCTATGTTTTCGATAAAGTCATCTGAAATTTCTTTCCACATTTGATAGGTTGCAGGTAACCCTTTCGAATTATCTTTCTTTCTTATAAAATCTACTGCATCATTATATTTAAGTTTTTCTTGGAGAGAAAGCCTTTGAACACGGACTTCTTCTAGAGCATCAATATAAAGGATTTTACATTGAACTGTCCATTTCTCACGTAGCCATTTTGCTAACATAGGGCTTGTAAAACTTTCTAGCACAGCAATTTCGTTACTTGATGAGGATAATTTTAGATAAATTGAATCGAAAAGTTCTTTGTATTGAAAATTAATACGTGTAGGCGCACCACCAATTTTGCTCATTTTACCAGATTCTAGATTAAGCAAAATATTTCTTATTTTTATTCTTAAGGCACCAAGTGACTCTAGGAATATTCCTGCTGTTGATTTTCCAGACTCACTACTTCCGGCTAATATTAGTATTTTAGGAATTGATATTTGCATAAGTACTATCACTTTCTATATATTGAGATAAAGACTGTGAGAAGGACTGAATATTTCTTGGATTACCAACGGTGACTTCAAGGATTAAAGATATGGATTTTATTGAAAATATAAAGTCATCTACTGTTTTTTTTAAGCAAAAATCCAAACAAAAATCTATTAATGGTGGTCTTTTAAATAAAGAAACACGATCAAGTTTTGGATTTAAAAATTTTTGCAAATGATCAGTAGCTGCAATTTCAAATTTATCTAAACAATCATCTAAGTTTAAAATTTTTTTAATTGAAAAATTATCTGATTTTTTTGGGAAAATTATTACTTTAGGGATCACTTGTGAAGCAGAATTTAGCTCTAATTCTTCTGGTAACGAAAGGATATTATCATTATAAGATGTAGATATAGATAAGTGTTTGATTAAATCTCTTCTAACATGTATAGGCCATCCTGAACCACCAATAATTGCTCCATTAGCTATGTTAAAAAAAGAGAACTCATCTACAACAAAAGCACCTCCTAGCTTGGCTACAGCAACTCCTAGAGAGGTTTTGCCTGAACCAGAACCATCATCTAATAAGATAACGCCTAAACCACTTGGAGTTATAACTGTTGTTCCATGCAAAAGTACAATCCCATGATCCATTTTAAGTAAAGCAATGAATCTACATATAGCCTGTAATAAGCATATTTCTAATAACATTTTGTTTAAAGTATTTTCTTGAGAATCTTCAATGTAGTAAAAGAAAATTTCTTTTGAATTTTTTTTTATAGATAATCTATATAGACTATCTTTCTCAATTATTACTTTTATTTCTGCTGGTAATTTTGAAGATGGAAACTTAGTTAGAAAATTTGTAAAGTTTGGTAGATGACTTTGACTTTGTATAACAACGGAGAATCCACAAACGTCAATAAATAGTTCTTTCATTTTTTTATCTTTCTATATCTTTTATCTTAATTTTATAACATGATTTTTTACTAGCTTATAAAAGTAATTGTACCGTATGCTAATTTCGTTGAAAACACATTGTCAATAATTATCTATATTAAGAAAGAAGATAAAATTTATGAATAATAACAAAATACCCCACAGTAAGGATATTAAGCCTTATATAAATGATGAAAAGGCTTCTAATTTCGTCAAGAGTTATTTAAAAAATGCTAAAGAATTTAACTCAGATTTTGAAGTTCTAAAATTTTCTTTAGATGCTATTGCAAATGATGGTTATCTTCTTGAAATGGGAGTTTACAAAGGTAAAACTATTAATTTCATTGCAGCTCTAAATCCACATAAAACAATTTTTGGGTTTGATTGTTTTGAAGGCTTACCAGAAGATTGGGATAAAGGAGATAAAATTCTTTCTAAAGGATCTTTTAAAGATCTATCCTTTCCTCTTCCTGTATTGAATAATGTTGTCCTTTATAAAGGTTTTTTTAACGAAATTTTACCAAAATTTAAAGAAGATATAATTAAAGATTCACCAATTTCTTTTCTTCATATTGATTGTGACATTTATAATAGCACAAAAGATATTTTTAATATTCTTGGTAATAATATAGTTCCAGGAACTATTATTACCTTTGATGAATTCTATAATTACCCTACATATGATCAGCATGAATTTAAAGCTTTTCAAGAATTTGTAAGTAAAACAAACATGGGCTTTGAATATATCGCTTTTAATTGCAACCATGAGCAAGTTTCCGTGCGAATGTGTAATATTGGAGAGCATACAAAAGTGGGTACTCCTCAATTGAGGTAAAGGTTTTGGGCTCCTAATATTCAGTTATGTATGTAAAGATAAAAGATATTCGATGTTTTCCCAAACTTTTGTTGGAATGTTTATAATTTCATCTTTTTTAAATTTTGCACTTTCTTCTTCTGCTCTCCATCCAGGGATTAGAACATTATTAGAAGTATTATTTACCTGAGAATCTTGAATATATGAAATTAATTCTCTTAAGCGTGAGTAAAAATGCTTTTTTTCTAGCCCCATAATTCTAGGGCTAATTACTAAAAAAAATGCGGAATTTCCACTTAGAGTTGTCGTTCTACGTGAAAACTCTCCACCTGTTAATACTCCAGCCAATATTTCAACAAATAGCGATAATCCAAATCCTTTATACCCGTGATCTTTCCCTCCAAGTGGACATAAAAAGGCACTAGGAGGATCAGAATAAAATCTATTAGGATCTGTTACAAACTCCCAACTTTTGTCTACAAGCCAGCCTTCTGGAACTTTCTTACCTTGGAGATACGCACATCTAATTTTGCCTTCTGCTACTGTTGAAGTGGATATATCTAAGACTATTGGATATCCTTTATGGAATGGAGCAGATAGCACAAGGGGATTAGTACCAAGTTTAGAATTAAAGCTCTTAAAGGGTACTACTTTTTGATTTTGTTCTGAATAATTACAAAAACCTATTACAATTCCTCCTTTGCGTGATACTTTTGATGCTATGGTATGTAAACGGCCGATATGACTTGTGTTATTAATAAGACTAACGAATCCAAAACCAGTTTTTTTTAGATGGATCAAAAGTTGATTGGATAAGTAAGAAGCTATAAGGCTGCCGAACGAATTATTTCCATAAATTATTGTGGAGCAAGAAGATGCAGAGGTACAATGTGGCTTATTTTTTGGATTTATTTTACCTTTCTTAATATCATCAATATAATCAATAAGCCTTAAAAGACCATGAGAAGAATATCCTTGTATTTCGTTAATTATAAGATCTTTTATTACAATAGACGATGTTTTTAATGGAGAACCATTTTTTTGTAAAAGTATAGAACATTTTGTAAAAATTTCATTTACAGGTATATTAATATTACAATCAGTATTTGAATCTTGATTTTTTGTCACTTTTATAAATCTCGTTTAATTTAATTTTCATAAATCGGTCAATAAGCCTCTTTAAATTTTATTAATATAAAACTCAATTATTATAAGATTTCATGAGACTTATTGCAATATTTTCTCAATCCAGTTATTTAGTAACTGTGAGTTTAGGTGTGGCCTAAAAGTTCCTATCTCAGTCACAAGCAACCGAGTTTTATAGCGGCAAATCCCTCTACCAAGCTGTTCTTAATCCTACTAGAATTGATTTTTCTGTTGTTTAAGAAAAAAGAATAATGCATATTTTTGTTTATAGTATTTTTTTCAAAAAGTTAATTCTTATAAATAAATTTAAGTTATGATTAAAATTTTTATTAGTAATATAGGCTTTGGTATAACTTCTCCAGATGCACTTATACGCCTTAAAAAATATGGAACTATTATTAGAAATGATAAAAATAAACGTTTCAATGCGGATGAACTTGCTTCATGTGTTGCTAATTGTGATATACTGATCGCTGGAACTGAACCTATAACAAAAAAAGTTTTTGATAAAGCTTCTTCTTTACGTTTAATTGGAAGAGTTGGCGTGGGATTAGATAATATTGAGCTTGAAGCTGCAAAACACAAAAAGACCACTATTATATATACACCTGATGCTCCATCTTATGCAATGGCTGAATTTACATTATCTTTAATGCTTAATCTTATTAAAAATATATCTATTATCAATAATTATATGCATAACGGACAATGGATGAGGTTTTATGGGAAGCAATTATCCTCTCTAACAATAGGTATTATAGGTGTTGGACGGGTTGGTAGAAAGGTAATTAGCCTTTTAAAATCTTCTTTTCCAAATCTAAAAATACTTATGTATGATCCCTATAACGTTGAAAATATTGAAGGAGTAGATAGATGTTCATTGATACACCTTATTAAAAAAACCGATATTGTCTCATTACACTTGCCTAGAACTTTAGAAACTACTCATTTATTAAATAAGAATAATATTTTTAAAATGAAAAAAGGCTCTTATTTAATAAACACATCAAGGGGAGAAGTTGTAGACGAGAAGATTCTTTATGATGCATTAAAGAGTGGTCATCTTGCAGGAGCGGCTCTGGATGTATTTGAACAAGAACCTTATATGGGCCCCTTAAAAGAAATAAATAATTGCATTCTAACATCTCATATAGGATCAATGACTTATGAAGCACGTGCTTTAATGGAAAAACAACTGGTTGATGATGTAATAAATTTTATTACTGGTCAAACTCTTAAATACCCTGTTCCAAATTTTGATTTTAGCAAGGAAACATGAATGAGTAAAGCAATTGTCTTTGGTGGGTCTGGTTTTTTAGGTAGCCATATCGCAGACTCTCTATCAGATAAAGGGTTAAAAGTAACTATTTTTGATAAACAACCATCGCTTTATTTAAGAGGTGATCAGAAATTTATTCAGGGTAATATATTAGATACGCAGCATGTAGAAAGATCTATTAAAGGCCAACATTATGTTTACCATTTAGCTGGACAAGCTAATATTGAGGAAAGTTTCTATAATCCAAGACAAACTTTAGAAATAAATATTATAGGAACAAATAACATTCTAGAAGGTTGCAAGAACAATAAATTACTTAAAAGATTTGTTTTTGCTTCTTCATTATATATTTATTCTGATGTGGGGGGTTTTTATCGAACAAGCAAACAGTGCTCGGAATTAATCATTGAAGAATACCAAAAGAACTTTGACATTAATTTTACAATCATTCGTTATGGTTCGATATATGGTTCTCGTTCTGATGATAGAAACTTTATTCATCGTGTATTAAAGGAAGCTATTTTAGAAAAGTGTATTAAAGTTAGTTCAGATAAAGATGAAAAACGAGATTATATACACGTCAAAGATGCTGCGCTTAACAGTACTACAATATTATCAGAAGAATTCAATAATTCTTATGTTTTAGCTACAGGCAACCAACAAATGAGCCGTGGTGAAATAATAGATTTAATTTGTGAGATTTTAGGGGGTGATATTCCAGTCGATTGGATTCAAAGAGAGCGTAACAAGTCGTGTAGACATTATAAATTAACACCCTATAGTTTTAAACCTAAAATTGCAAAAAAGATAATTAGACAGGAGTATATAGACATAGGACAAGGTATTTTCGATTGTATGAATGAAATTTATGATTGTTACTTGTGAGATAAATGTTGATGGATAATATTAAAGCAGTATTTCTTGATTTTGATGGCGTTGTTATTGAGTCTACGGATATTAAAACATTTGCTTTTTATAAATTATATATTTCATATGGAGAGAAGATTGCTAGTAAAGCAGTCGAATATCATTTAAACAATCAAGGGATTCCAAGGAATCAAAAATTTCTTTATATACATAAGAATTTTCTAGACTATAGATTGTCGCCAAATGAAAGTGAGATTCTTTCCAAAAGATTCTCCGATATTGTCTTCAAAAAAATTTTACGATGTCCTTTAGTAGATGGTATATTAGAATTTCTCAAAAATAAAAAACAAGAAAAAGTTCCTGTTTTCCTAATTTCTGCAACTCCAGATGAAGAGTTGAAATTAATAGTTAGAAAAAGATTAATAGATATTTATTTTGAACAGATTTTTGGAGCTAATAAATCGAAAACTGACATAGGGCTAGAAATTTTAGAAAAATATACTCTAAGATCTGAAAATATTTTATTTATTGGAGATAGTAAAAGTGATTATGACGCAGCAAGAAAACTTCGAACGCATTTTATTGGGCGTGTAATTGAAAAAAAACGATCACCTTTTCCCTCATATGTTAAAAAAATAAATAATTTTTATGAGATTATTTAATGAAAGTCAAAAAATTTGATGACATATCCAAAGCAGTCATCTTTGTTTGTAATTTAGTTGAACAATATTTAATTAAAGACTTAAAATTATATATGAGAGTATGCATTGTGTTAACTGGTGGGAAATCAATTGTACCATTTTTAATAAGTCTATCAAAATTATCCTTATCTTGGGAAAGGGTTTATATCACTCTTAGTGATGAGAGATGGGTTTCAATAGATCATGAAAAAAGCAATGAAAATCAACTAAGGAAGATTTTTTTTAAAACAAATATAGCTAAAGCTGAGTTTGTTTCTTTGAAAAGTAATGATTTAAGTCCTCTTAAGGGAGTTAATATAATTTCAAAGAGGATTCATTTATTACCTAAACCATTTTCTATAGTAATTCTGAGTATGGGGGAAGATGGACATCTCTCATCTTTGTTCTTTGATAAGGAAATTAAGAGTCAGAGCGATGTTGTTGTGACTCAACGCAATGGACTTGAGAGAATAAGTTTGAGTAAAATGAAACTAATGGAAGCTAATTATAAGATTATTTTGGTAATCGGAAAAGAGAGGTTTCAATTATTAAAGAAGATAAAAATTAATAACCCTCTTTGGGATCTTTATAATTCTTCTTTAATTGTTTACGTGCCATAAATAAAATTAACAAAGTATAGTGAAAAATCTAACCTGCCTCCGTTAATGGAGTCTGCCAAAGACACGTGTTCTCTTCGAGGTCTTTGCTGAGGAATGTTTTCTAAATCCCGCCTGTTAGTCTATTATTTGTGCGCATCCTTAAAACAGTTGCATTGAAACTTCGAATGTATCTATAGTTTATGTTAATCAATTAGAACCGTTATATTATAGTTAACATGCACAGATTAAACAAAGAGCAAAGAGGCTCGATTTTTCTCTTACAGTTAGGTACGTTTTTAGAATATTTCGATCTCATGCTATTTGTGCATATGGCTGTTGTATTAAATGAATTATTCTTTCCAAAATCAGATCCTTTGACTGCATCTTTATTATCTGCCTTTTCTTTTTGTTCAACTTTTGCTTTTAAACCCTTAGGTGCCTTATTATTTAGATATATCGGGGATAGAATAGGCAGAAAGCATACTGTTGTTATTACAACAATGCTTATGGCTGTTTCTTGTATAGTGATGGCTAATGTTCCTACCTATGCTCAAATAGGCATATTAGCATCATGGATGATGCTAATATGCAGAGCCCTGCAAGGTATGTCATCTATTGGAGAATCTATAGGGGCCGAACTATACACAGCGGAATTAATAGATAGGCCTTTAAAATATAAGGCCGTTGGATATATAGGTTTTGCTGGTGTAGTAGGGATGGTTGCCTCTCTTATGACAGCAAAATAGTATTATCCATTGATATAAGCTGGCGAATAATTTTTTGGATTGGAGCAGTTATTGCTTTAGTAGGTTCTGCTGCGAGAATAACGCTGCGCGAGTCTCCAGAGTTTAGTGATGCAACACGTAAATTACGTATTATGTTTGAATCAGCAAACAAAAATCTAAATTTAGTAAAGAATCATCCATATTATATAGAGAAAGTATCTAAAAAAACTTCCTTATCTTATTTTTTAGTTTTTTGTGGATGGCCGTTTTGTTTTTATTTTTCATATGTTTACTGTGGAGGTATACTGAAAGATCAATTCCATTATACAAAAGAAGCTTTAATTTATCATAATTTCATTGTTTCTCTATTTAATCTTCTAGGTTTATTTATATTTATAAGACTAACAGATAAAATCCATACTTTGGTGATAATAAAAACTAAGTTAATACTTTATATCCCCTTCATTTGTATAGTCCCGTTCTTACTTTCCAGTTTTTAAAAGGTTCGCTATGCTAGTTTCATTACGGCAACAGCACATATAACACTTTATATCATCACGTCCTTTGGACTAGTTTTTGCAATTAGTTTTTTTGGTATATTTGGGATACTTCTCATTTCTATTCCTACCACCCTCAGTTTTCTAATGGGCGTGTTACATTTTGAAAAACTTGAGAAACAAATTGGTGAGTATCGGTATTTTTTAAATAAAAAAGATCGGGCTCGCAGTTAAATTGAAACAATTTATCATAATTTGTTGTAATGGATAAAAAATTACAACAAATTTCATATAAAGTTTTTTCTATATATTTATTTTCAACATGCATTGCAAGAACTATAAAAATATTAAAAGTTTTATGGGAAGATTTAATTTGTTTTTGTCTATTTTTTGCACTTAAAGTAAGCATATTGTGCAATCTATCAAAACACTTAATCAATAACACTTCAGTATCACTCTTAAAAAAAGCATTATTTAATATTTCTTCCACACTCAACTTACTACCATCAGGTCTATCTCGGGTAAGACTATCAACCATTTCAGCTATGCGCCACCCAAATTCATCAAGAATCATACCTGTTGTAACTTCGGTGTCTTCAACAATATCATGCAAAATACTTGCAACGAGAACATCTGTCTTCAGCATATGATCAGAAATCATATAAGCTACTTCTAATAGATGAGAATAAAAGGGTTCACCACTCTCCCTAAACTGTTCAGCATGGTGCTTCTTAGCCCAATAAATAGATTTTTTTATTAACTGAAAATCTAATTGTCGGTTTTTATCAACCGACTTTAACTTCTCTATTAACCTGGTTGAGTATGTGCAGCTTTGTGAATAATCCATAGATACCAATCCACATAGAAAAGTTAATATATTGAGGAATAAATCACTGAGACTTCTGCCCTCTTGATGCCTTTTCCTAAAAGATACTGGAGATAAAATAAGAAAAAGGGGGGAAAGTCAAATTCTTTTCCCTTGTTTATCTTAATACAATCATGATTCAAGAAGCTTTTAGAAGCGCAAATTGGACAAAAAAACTCACCCAACGAGATAAAGATCCTCTTTCTCCTTTAACATACAGTCACATCAATCCCTTTTTAAACTTTCGAGGTCACTGGGTCTAGAAAATACTTTCAGCCTTATGTTACATTTGCGCACGTTTTTGGGTATTACCCTTAATAAGTGAATTTGGCCGATTTTTCGTCATCGGGGTCATCAGTTTAAATTACCTCAAGCGGTTGAACAGATTCAGAGATTTTCTTTCCGTTCTTTCTTCTAGCCTCTTCTAGATCAAAGTCGTCTTGCAGCCCAACCCAAAAGTACTCTGACGTACCAAAATATAAAGACAGCCTTAATGCTGTATCCGCTGTAATAGAACGCTTTCCCAAAATGATCTCGTTAATACGTCGTGGTGAGACGTCCATACTTTCAGAAGCTTTTGTTTGTGATATTTTCAGCGGCTTTAAAAATTCCTCAAGGAGGACTTCTCCTGGATGAATGTTTCTCAATTCGGTCATCACAATCTACTCCTTTCTTTAATGATAATCCACAATATGAACATCGTCTGCGTCCCCGTTGTGCCACACAAAACAAATTCGCCATTGGCTATTCACTCTGATGCTATATTG